CGCGTTTGAAACGTACTATTTCTGAACTATTTCTGAATCTTAAACTAACCTCAAAACACAAATAAAAAAATTGATACGCGCGGAGCGCGTCTTAAACGTCTAGTAAGGAAAAAAACGTACCGGACTAGATTTCAGTATATTCACAGTTTATTATGCAAATAGTGTATCGGACAATTTATCACGAGAACTGTACTTTTTTTATTCTAAAATATATTATGTTAATGAATATAAAAACATACAATCAAAAATACAATTTTTATTTCATAGTTTAATTTAAGCAATCAGAATTAAAAATTGTATTACTACAAAATATACAAAATTCATTCAACGGCAAATTCTTTTTTTGTATTAAACATGGGCATCCGAGAGCGAGATTGCAAAGTGGATCGTATGAAACCGTCTCTATTTTCTTGACCACAAACCTTCTTCAAGTCTTCTCCTTCTCCTAGCTCAAAAACTACTATACATTGTATCTAACGTACATAAGAAGTTTTTTTTTTCAAATTTTTTGAACGAATCGATCGTGCCAATTTTCGATAGCATGGAAAAATAGTATAAGGAGTGTAAAAAATAGTTGATGTTTTAGCTCCGTACGTTTTTTTCCTTATAGCTGGATCAAAATGAGCGTTTGTACCTTCAAAGTGTAATTCTTGACAAAGCGATCACCGGTCTCAGACTTGTTTTTTATTACAGATTACGCATTCGGGACGATATCGAAAATGCACAAAAAATCTCAAAAAAAGTCGAAAAATCGTCGTTATTGGGGCTATACCAGTAACACAAGAGTTTTTAGGAGTAACTATAACAATCAAAACTGATCGTTATTGTATTTTAAAAAATGTTGGATCAATTTATAAGTGTCCGGTACATTTTATTTCGTTTATTTGGCTTAAAGTTCAATTTTTATTCGAGAAAAACGAAAAAATACGAAAAAACGGAGTTTGACGTTCTGGTTGCAGTAGAAAATATCATTTGCTAGAGTCTAGCGAACGGCTGTTGTTTTGTTTGTGTAAAAGATAAACTTTGAACACTATTCCAAAGTGATCTAAAATTTTTCGCCTACTTCGCTCCACCCTAGTGATCAAGGTACAGAGTTCACCGGCGCCAGTATGCTAGAAGTTCTCGAAAGACACGGTACTGAATTACAACTAGCTAGCCCAGATACTCCAGAGCACAATGGCACTGCAGAAAGGTTCAACGCAGGATCGCGTCATACATGACGTTCCACAGGATCGGGCCCAATACTGACCCCTGTGGGACACCTGCCTTGACTCCGTAGGACTCTGGACCATCGTCCGGGGTGAAGTCGAGCACTCTTGCCGAGAAGTAGCTGGAAATTATTCTCAGCAAGTAATCGGGTACGAGCAAACGGCGTAGAGCGGGGAGGATGTTGTTCCACCGAGCCGAATTGAACGCATTCCTCACGTCGAGTGTCACCACAGCGCAGTACTTCTTGGTGCCGCGGTACCATCTCTTGCTGGCGATGCCCTCACGGGCGGTGGAAATGACGTCTTCGATGGCATCTATCGTTGATCGCCCTTTCCGGAAGCCATATTGTCGCTCCGAGAGGCCTCCGGGTCTCTCTGTGAAAGCCTCCAGCCGGTCGCACATGATTCTCTCGAGAATCTTGCCCACCGTGTCCAGCATGCACAGCGGACGAAACGAGGACGGCTTGTCGGGAGGTTTGCCCGGCTTTGGGAGCAGGACGAGTCTCTGGCGCCTCCAGTTGGACGGGAAAACGCCGGTCTCCAGGCACGTCGTGTACACCCACAGGAAGATGTCGGGACGCGCGGCAATAGCGAGCTTGAGCGCCAAGTTGGGCGCGCCATCCGGGCCGGGCGCCCATCGCTCCTTGATCCTCGACTAAGCTCCTTTGAGTTCCCCCAAAGTGACGACTGGAACCAGCTCTCCCGTCCGTCACGGCAGCTGGAAGGCGGGCCCGCTCGGCACCAACGGAAACAGAGCCGCCACCGCACCGCGCACCAGGAGAGGGGAGCTAGACTGCCTGGTCTGTGGGCATCGCAGGTGCGACATGGCAATCCTGTACGGTTTGCCCCATATGTCGCTGTCGACCTCGTCGCAAAGTTGTCTCCAGCACCGGCGCTTGCTGGTCTTGATCGCCACGCGCAGTAGACGCCTTGCGGAGGCGTAGTTTGCGCTGTGAGCTTCTTTGTCCTGCCGGCCACGCGATCTCTGGAAAAGCCTGCGAGCCCGCAGGCAAGAGCTTCGAAGATCAGCGATCTCCGCCGTCCACCAGTACACTGGCTCGCGGCGGCGGCGTGGATTTGCCTTGGTCATGGAGGCATCACATGCGCCGCTGCTGACGGTCATGAGGCTTGACGCCATTTCCTCTGCGGTCCCGGAAGCGACCGATGCGCTGGACACGATGGCGGAGAAACGGTCCGCATCGAGAGTTCGAGCGTTTCACCTGCAGCTCTGGTGCGTTGAGGGCCTGGCAGTAGTCCCGTTGTCCTCGATCTGGAAGACGATGGCCTGATGGTCGCTGTGGGTGTACCATCCGGTTTACGTCCATGATATTACGCTGGGCAAAAGAGACTCGCAAACGAACGTCAGGTCGACGACCGAGCTGCCCTGTCTGCCGTTGAAGGTTGGCACGTCATTGGTGTTAAGCAGCACCGCATCGAGAAGAGCGAGCCAGTCAAGCAGGATGGACGCCCGCGTTCTAGTCGCCCATCATCCCCACTTCGTTGACCATGCGTTAAAGCCCCCCACCATAACAAGGGGACTTCTGCAGCGTGCCTCCTCGGTGATTATGGCAAGGAGGGCGGAAAATTCCACCTCAGAGAGTCTTGGCGGAGGGTAGACGCTGAAAAGAAAATCCCCGCCGATTTGGGCCCACGAGAAGTAAGGATGTACTCGAGCCGGCCGTTTTTGCACTGGAAATCCTCAGGCTGATGTGTACGTGTGTATGTGTCTGCTCAAGAAGAGGGAGTGCGTATGTGCGACCAGTTTCTATTCCATCACCGCTGCAAAAGCAAAGAACAACGGACTAAAGAGATCACGAATATTATCTATGTTGCAGGGACCAGCCTAGAAGGACGAGAGGCAACGAGGAGGACTACCAGAAAGGTTATAGTGGTGAGCGCGGGAGCCTCTTTACCCTAGTATTGTATTGTTGGGAGAGCCAACAGGCTCGGAGTTCCGCGCTGAGCTGTCGTTGGCCTTCAACGAACCGGCCTTTCTCTTCATAGGCACATGTAGTGTTACATACCAATAAACGCTTACTTAGTCATAATTTAAATAGCTGTGTTCAATGATTTTGTATGAATGTGAGTGTGTTCCCCTACCCTAGTTGTTCATGTAACTTGCAAGGGACTCTGACGTGCTGTAACGAACTCCAAGAGGCCAAAGGACACATGTGACCCAAACGGGCACACCAGGGTAGGATATTAAATTACACGGCAATCGATCAGCCACTGCCACAACAAAGCTAACGGGTCCACATCCTCGATATGGAGGCGAATCGCGTGGGTGTCTGACGTAGGTGTCTCCAATACTACGCAGAAGACCAAAAGTTTTTTGACTGCGACTGCTTAATGGGGCTCAAACTGCCACAACTTGATTTCTTTCTGCCATGATGTAGCCTTCATTTGTCGTGACACTAGAAAATAATTTCTATCTCGCTACCTGAAACCTAGTCTAATCGAAAATAATGCGAAAGAGACCATTCATTAAACCATTCTTGTGGCCAAACTTGCCATCGCGTCTCACCGATGTACGAAGGGCCTGCGGTCCAACGTGATGTCGGTGCTCGTGAAACTGTTACAATAAATAATAAATTTATTTTGCTATCTTGTGTAAAGTACATGATAATGTAACAAATTATTACTAATAATAATTCGTTCATAAATTTATTTTTGTGCCATCTCAACCTTGAATAATGTTTAGTCCTGCTAAGCAGAATAAAAATATTGCTTTAGGCTGGGGAATTATATTCACAGAAAACTATATCTACATGTAGCAAAAAAAGCTTTAATTGATAAATATCACTCGCTCGTTCTTTTTTTTCCCTGAAAGCGTTAGTGATTATACACATTTTTAAATTTAATTCGATTTTAAATTGATTAGGTATGAAGTTTCAATGTTTTATTTTTATTTTCTTCTGTAACAGTTTACCCTCGGGAGGCAAGCAAATTGTCCGGCGAGATGTCCGTTGTCCTGTAAACGGGGAACGAAGAAAAGTGTGCCAAAAATAATCTACGCGATCATGTAATGTATAAATAATAATTAGGCTCATTTATTAAGAAGGGCGCCAGTCATGATAGTGACGCCTAATGATACAAAATAAGGCCACCGCGGCTATTTCGGTAGATACAACGGTCGTGAGCTTGGGCTAGGCGGGGACGAGACCGAGAGAGATCGAGCGTGTTGAAAGATACAATAATATGTCGTATATGCAGGAGAGAATCTAGAGACTTACATTCGTTGACTACACGGTTTAGTGGTGGTTGATTGGGCCTGACGAAGACTGCAAAAATAGCGAGGGCAGACGAGAAGGCAGCCAGATGTTGATGCTCTCCAGGATGGCAGACTCACTCTCACACACGCTGGCCATCGCAGGTCCCACACGAGAGGGGTCGGTAGCTCGAAGCTATTTCACGCTAGGTCCAACACAGAGTGTTCGCTTCATCAACTCCTCGTCGGCTCGTCAGTCAGCATAGGCCTCTCTTTCCACTTGACAGGCTTTCGTCTGCTCATAAGGCAGCACGCGCAAGACCCGTCTACGCACTTAGCATTGATCACGGCTCTCTCTCTCTCTCTCTCTCTGCAAATTCGGCGCTTATCGATAAATCGGCGCCGATCCGCACTACCATTAGGCTCGCTTATTTCCGATCTCTCTCTCGGGCGGAAGGGATTCTAGGATACAATATAAAGGAAGGAGTACCGTCGCACCCTGTGCTGGACTACTTCCTTACACTTCATATTCGAGTTTTGACTTTATCTGGGACGAATTATACGTTATTTATAATATTTTGTACCTGTATTTCCAATATGAACGGAAGGTAAGACATCTATCAATTGAGAAACAGCTCCATATAATTGCCTGTAATCTAAATTAGGAAATAGAGATATTCTTTCAGAATCATAATTCTGAGACACTAACATATCATAAGGAGATTTCTCAACATCTTTCAGAAGTGCTGAAATATTAAATTCCAATTTTAAAAAATTATTCATAAAAATCAATGTTGTATAGTCAGTATGTATTTTCATTTTTGTGATATTTAGAAATGCACTTGTAATTCAATTATATCACTTGAAAAAAACGCTTTATTTTTGTGATCAGGCGGAATATTGTACAGTTGAGACTTAATAGCAGGGGTACAAAAGATTATTTTGTTCCAGAATCTATTTCATATTAAGATTAAGTTATTATGATTAGACAACTTCACTTCACGCTACCAGAAAGTGCAACTTATGCATCAGAAAAGGGGGCATAAATGTGAATTTTGCGTAGTTTTATGAAATGTAGTACGATACTCATGACATAGAGACCCTTTTCGGTCCAGCTATTAAGAGCTTAAAGGGGGCTTAAAATCAAAAAATTTTTTTATTTTATTTTCGAGAAGAATTTTTTGTCCCCTTTCCATTGCATTTTTTGAAACTTTAAAATTTTGATCATTCAGTGAGATACAGCTGTTTCCGTGAGCTATTTTTGTATACTTTGCATGTTAAATTTTTTCTTCCCTTGCGTTTTCTGGTGTTTAACGTTTTTAAAAAGTGCACCTCAGTTGTCGTAACATTCGAAGCGTACCGATTGAGTTACAGCACCAGGGTCACGTACACTTCTGCAGAACATCAATGGTTACGGTCACAACCTCAGGCGTGCCGATCCGACCCTTAAGTCCCCTACCCAAACACTTATGCAGAATTGTTTTTCCATTTGATTGAAAATTACCTATGATTTCGATCACCTCGCTCGAGGTTGTGACCGTAACCATTGATGTTCTGAAGAAGTGTACGCGACTCTGGTGCTGTAACTCAATCAGTATGCTTCAAATGTAATGACAACTGAGGTGCACTTTATAAAAACGTAAAACGCCAGAAAACGAAAAAGAAGAAAAAATTCAACACTCAAAGTATACGAAAATGGCTCACGGAAACAGCTGTATCTCACTGAATGATCAAAACTTTGAAGTTTCAAAAAATGCAATAGAAAGGGGACAAAAAATCCTACTCGAAAATAAAATAAAATTTTTTTCGATTTCAAGCTTTCTTTTAGCCCTTGAAGCTCTCGCTGCGCTCATGCCCCTAAACTACGCCGTGTCGAAAAGTGTTACTTATCGAACTTGTAGCGTAAATTACTATTATGTTTGATATACTTACCTGAACCTTTAATAAATTTTTCAACGGCTTTCAGAGGGGGAAAACGCCTTAAAATCGAAAAAAATTTTATTGGATTTTTGAGCAGGATTTTTCCTCTGCCTTTCATTGCATTTTCAAAATTCCAAAATTTTGATTTTGCACTGAGATAGTTATTTCCAGGACTTTTTTTCCTATACTTTATAGCAGAGAAGGCTTGCGGAAGCCAGATATCGTCGCTGTAAAGGAGCAGGTTGTCAGGGTGATCGATGCGCAAGTCATCAGCGCTTCATCGTCCCTTGACGACTGACACCGTCGGAAAGTCGCCAAATATGATACCCCTGACATTCGTCATCAGGTCACCAGTGAGTATGGGGTCGGGAACGATAACATCTCGTTCTCTTCGATCACGATCTCCTGGCGGGGTATCTGGTTTGCTGCTTCCGCCGCGAGTCTGTGCGAACTCGGATTGAGCAAATGTTTGGATTCCATCACGTTTAGAGCTCTCCGTGGTTCGCACATGAATTGGCTCTGGTGGAATAAAATGACCACGCACATCAGTGGTTATACAGGTATTAACTCTGCAGGTCGAAGAGAAGGCATAGGGTAGCCTTGACATCATCTCGCGCACATCTTTTGGAGAACGTGGTCTCCCACCATCTAAGACGGCACCACGAAATAAAGCCGCGTCCGAGCACTTCCATCGCTCGGGCAGATAGAGTTTTAGTGTGTATTCCCTCACCGACGCAAATCGGTTGAGGGCGAGTCCCACACACGGGGAGGTTTGGGGTTGATTTCAACTCAAACCTCCTTACGGTGCGTAACGCATTTCTCTATCTAAAAAAAAAAAAAAAAAATGTAACATTTTTTCTCTTTTTTGTGTTTCCTGGAGAGTAGTGTTTTTGGTCATCTGTCGTAACTTTCAGAGGGTACCAATTTAGTTAGTACCACAAAGAAGTGATCGAAGGCACAGAGTGCTTTGCAAGTAAATGGTTAAGTACACTTTTTTTTCATTTTTCGTTTTTGCCCAAATTTAGATCATAAAATTACTGTTTGAGAGTGACATATAAATTCGATCATTCCTAAAGTGCTTGTGTTTGTCAGCATTATTGTTTTGCAAAAGTGTATGCGACCCTGGCGCTGAAACTCAATCGGTATATTCTGAAAGTCACGACAGATGACCAAAAATACTACTCGCCAGAAAACACAAAAAAAGAAAAAATTTAACACTTAAAGTATAGGAAAAAGGCTCACAAAAATAGCTGTATCTCAGTGCTGAATCAAAATTTTGGAATTTCAAAAAATGAAATTAAAATGCAATAAAATTTTTTTTTTATTTTAAAGTGCTTTCCCCTCTTAAGCAATCACAAGAAAACTTGACGTTAGAGTGAAGTATAAGAATAGCTTCCTTATTGGGAAAAAATTATATAATTTGTCATATGATTTTCATGGTCCGTTTAAACGAGAACGCTAAGAAAAACGCTAATAAAACAACAAGTATTTACAATGTTCCTTAAAAGTTTAATTTGAAACCAGTTAGGAAGGGTTCGATGAGTTTAAATAATTTTCGCATGATTTTTAAAATGTTTTTTTAGAGATGAAAATTCATTGTCTTAAGATTTTCTTTCAGTGTTTAATTTTTCTTTTTATTCCAAGTGAAACTTTCTTTTCTGTTAGGCTGTTCATAGATTAAGAAGTGATTTGAATAAATTATTATATTGATCTTAATCTGGCTGGTGACAATGAGGGAATATAGGTATAATGGGGTTACGGACATTTCATCCTTTAGACAACTCATCACGAAAATTTATCCGGGACAACTCATCCCGAAGACAATTTATCCTACGACATTTTATCCTGACGACAAATCATCCCGAAAAAAAAATCTCACACACACACATACACACGGAAATAATATAAATTAGATGAATAATCTGCTCAGGAGTGAGCTGAGATCACACTATATCACGTATAGTCACTCACACAAACGCAGAAATCAAAGGAAACAAGAGAAAAATTAAATAAAATTTTTAGTGAGGATGTTACTTATGTTGTTACGTTGCCTCGTGTGTATACGTAAATACAGTCATACAAGCGTGCGAGAGTGAGAGAGAAAGAGATACGCATGTCAAGTCTTGGCAGTGGACAGCAGCAGAAAGCAGTTCTATGTAGCTAGCGCGGCAGCCAATCACAGCGCGCAAGCCGACGCTGTATAGGCACTTATACTACCAAAGCTGCGCTCGCTTGGACGGACGAACAGATGCTCGTTTTTCGGGGCTTTACCCCTCATACCAAACGCCGATAAAGATGTTACACATCAACAATAAAAAAATTCACTTACAATAAAATTAATGATTAACGTAGAAGACTTTAACTGGCTCGGATCACTCATATTCATGTGGCTAACGCTGAAACAGGCCTGACTGGTTCCTGGTAAACTGCACTGTACCAACTACACTAATCTCGATTAAAAACTACACTCCTGGTTAGACTCGCTGCATAATTGAATACACGTCTGGATAATGTAAAATCACGGTACAAAGTGACTTGGATGTACAATTGTTATTACCCTTAATCGTGAACTGAATGTGATGATGACACATTCACAGAATCTCGGATATTTCTTACATTTTTCAACCCGTTGAGGGGACACATATACTTTAAAATTTTTTTTATTTCCTTTAAAAAAAAAAAAAAAAAAACCTAAAATTAAAAGTGATATTTGTCAACCTTGAGGATTCTTATAACCCTTTAAACAAAATACTTTCACCCCAACGTACTGAGAAAGTGTCTCTAAATTTACAGGAGGTACCCTTGATATAAAAAATTTCAAATTAAATTGTATTTGTTGCAACAATTCCTATGGTCGCTACTTCTAGCAGAAAAATCCAATATGTTAAGACCTTTGATAGTGCTACTACTTGGTCTGAGGTAGCGATCATAGGCATTGTCGCAACAACCAAATAGAGCGCACCAGGAACTTGTACAGATTATGAGTTGAACTTGAATGTTACGAAACATGAACATACAATTGAATTTGAAATTTTATAAATCAAGGAGACCTCCTGTAAATTCAGAAACACTTTTCCAGTACGTAGGGATGAAAATATTTTGTTTAAAGGACTAGTAAAGAATCCTCAAAGCTGACTCATATGCAGACTAAAATGGAGAAAAAATTTTTGTCCTTCTGGTCGTTAACGGGTTAATTTTTTAAACTATTGTCTGGCGTGACTATGAACTAGGCGTTATCAGGGGTAAACTTTCACACTTTATTATTCCATCATGCGATATTTATTTAACTTATAGACCGGCAGATGATGACTGTTTTTACACAACGATATTCTAATTCATGCCTCTTGGAGTACTTACAGTTATAAATATGCAAGCGTACTTGCGTTTGCAATAAATTAAGGCCTTGGACATTTATTTGGTAACTCATGCCTTTTTTATAGAATGATTGTTAAGTATCAGTCTAACTTACCTTGGACAAGGCATAAGTGCAGATAGTAGCCTTAAATGTACAGGTCTTGGCTCGAAATGTAAAAAAAAAATAGTTCGACGATATTAATTTTTTAACGAATGCCTTTGAGCATTAAGAAATTTATGAACTAGAATAATTCATAAAAAAATATTAGCATAAGTAGCTACCCAATTTAACGCACGGAAAATGTGAACATTTCTCAAAAGTTGTTTTTAGGAAAATCCTATCTGAACTTATGTGATTTTTCTGAGAGGCAGAAAATAATGAAATAAACTTATTTGAAAAGAGGCATAAGGCAAAAACTTAAAAATCGCACATCCGACGTATTTTTCAACGAGAAATCCAAGGGTGAACTTG